CCACAGATTGTGGATGTCACTCGCAAGGCTATCATTGATTTCCCATCCTTAATTGCCCCGAAGAAGGTAGTGGTGAGCTGCTTTCTTGAACTGTTGCAGTCTATGGTCTATGTTCACCAAAAACACTGAATAGGGGTTTCAGGAATTTGATCCAGCGACAGTGAATAAATGGTGATAAATGTCCAAGTTAGGATATTAAGTGGTTTGTAGGGAAACTTACAGATAATGGTATACCCATGTACCTGCTGCCCTTGTCCTTCCAGGTGGTTGAAGTTATAGTTTGAAAGATGCTGTTAAGGACCCTTGGTGAGTTACTGGACTTTACACTAATGGGATGAGGACATCGCTGGCTAGGCAGCATTTATTGCCCATTCTTAATTGCCCAGAAGGCAATTCAGAGTCAACCACATTGCTGTAGGTCTGGAGTCACATGTAGACTAGACCAGGTAAAGATGGCAGTTTCCTTCCCTAAAGGATATTAGTGAACCAGATGAGTTTTTCCAACAATCGACAATAGATTCATGGTCGTCATTAGATTCTTAATTCCAGATATTTTATTGAATTCAAATTCCACCATCTGCCATGGTGGGATTTGAACCCAGGTCCCCTGAATGTTATCTGTGTCTCTGGATTAACAATCCAGTGATAATACCACTCAGCCATTGCCTCCCCTTTGCTAGATGGTACACTGCCTCCACTATGCATTGGTGGTGGAGGGAGTAAACGTTTGTGGATATGGTGCTAATCAAGTGTGATCCTTTGTCCTGGATGATGATGAGCACCTTGACTGTTGTTGAAGCTGCACTCACCGAAGTAAGGGGACAGTATTCCACTGCACACCTGATTTGTGCCTTGAAGATGATTGAAATGCTTTGCAGAGACAACGAATGAATTACTCCCCACAGAATTCCAAGCCCTGATCTGTTCTTGTAGTTGTGACATTTTTATGGCTGATCCAATTCAATTTTTGGACAATGGGAACCTCCAGCATGTTGATGGTGGAGGATTTAGTGTTGGTAATGCCATTGAATGTCAAGGAGAGATGGTTAAATTCTCTCTTGTTGGACACTTTCATTGCATTGGTGTAATATAAATATTTCTTGCCAGTTACCAACCCAAGTCTGGATGTTGTCCATCTCTTAGTGTATAGGCTGCTTCAGTATCTGATGGGTTGCCAGTGGTACCAAATATTTTCCAGTCATCAGCTAATAACCCTGCTTCTGAGCTGATGATTGTGGGAAAATCATTGATGAAGCAGCTGAAGATTCGTGGGGAATAGGACACTAATTGGTGGAATTCTTTCATTGATGACATGGATATTCAACAACCATATCACCATAAGGTGGAGCAGAAGAGACCATTTGGCTGTTCGAGTGTCTCCGCCATTCAGTGAGGTCATTGTTGGTCTGGTAATCTGTAACTTTGTTTTTCTACCTTTTACCCATAACCCTTTATCTCTAGCTGATTTAAAATTTAAACCAGTTATCTTCCTGCATCAATCTGAGCTTTCCAACAGCTGCAGGCTCTCAAATAAAATCCTGCCCTTGGTTTTTGCCATCCTGGTATTTCTTCCCTGCTGTCAAGCTTTTATTGCTCTATGAGTAATATGTCATCGGTTTTACTAAATTGGGCCTACCTCTTCCCGTCCTGTGTCCTTTCCTGCCCTCATGTCTTCTGTTTTGCTGCCAAACCCATCCTCTAGCAAATTGGCTGTCTGTCCCATGAACATTGCGAAGCTGTGACTGCTGCCTGTTTCCAAGGGTAGAATTAGGACTTGGAAACAGTTCAACATCAGTTTCTTCCTGGGTCAGAGGCTGGACATCGTTCACAAATTGTTTGTCCACTTTACTTGGTTGGATAGTATTTTCTACTTTGGTTTCAGTGAATAAAGTCAGAAATCACATGACACCAGGTTATAGCCCAACAGGTTTATTTGAAATCACACAAGCTTTCCGAGCGCAGACCCTTCATCAGGTGCAATGAGAAACGAGAGCACACAGACACAGAGTTTATAGGCAGAGAGATCAAGGGCAGAGAGATCAAAAGATCATACAACTGGTGCGAGTGGAGTGTCAGATAAAAAAGTCACTGGAGGTGACTTAGAGTGTTAGACGGCGAGTAAAGTGGTTATAAAGTCAATCAGGCAGTGCGATAGGAATATACAAAAGGTGACATCTCAGGTCAGATACTGAATTGTAGGTGTGAGGCCTTGTTCAGAATCTGTGTCAGAGTTTTAACCTGGAATCCGGCTGGTTTTATTCCGAAAGCAGGAATTTCTAAGATGCCACACTGATGGACTGCAACTACAAATTGTGTGTTTTTTGAACAAAATAGAATGTATCTGCAAATAAACAAACATCTTGAATCACCCCATAGGTGTGTGTGTGTGTGTGTGTTGTGTATGTGCCCGCCCCTTAGATACACAAGTTCAAATGTTGAATTAACGAGGAAGGTTGACGTTACTTGGAAGAGACATTGACAGTTGGTACATTTCTGATTGAAAAAATATTGCGGGATAACCGGGCCTGATTTGTTGTTGCACAAGAGCTTGTGACATGATCGAGATCCTGCTCCCAAGATGTTGTTTTTATTATTTACAGCATTGCATGTTGATGTTAACAGATTTTATTTTTTTCAAAAACAACATATTTTGGTGAACTTTACTTTGCATCAGATGTGAGATGATAGTTGTGACAAATTGATATTTATGTTTTTCCGAGTTTTTGCACCTGGTCATAAGCTTCTTATGTTGTGCAGTCACAAGGCAGCAATACTGTGATGTTTTTTCTATCTGGAGGCATGATACAATGCTTTAAAATCTGACTTGATGCCCTTGAAGAACCAGTTGATATCTATGTCCCGGCTTGGCCAGGAAATTAATTTGTTGAACTTGGCAAATTTCAAGTACTGATTCTTCTTAACTTGTCACAAACAAGTTGAATTTTCTAGGGTAACAGCTCTAATGTGTAGTAATTAGACAAAGTTAAAAAAGCTTTTTTGAAGTCGTAGTTTGAGGATAAAGTTTGTAGATTTAAAACAGTGATGAGGAGGAATTACTTCAGTCAATGGATTGTGAGTCTGTGGAACTTGCTAGTGTGCATAGGGACAGGATTAACTTGCATTTGGCAAAGAATGGACTTATCAGGGATAGTCAACATGGCTTTCGGCAGGGAAAATCTTGTCTCACAAATTTGATTGTGTTTTTTGAGTGACGAAAATGATTGATGAGGGTAGGACAGTGGATATTATCTACATGGACCTTACTGAAGCATTTGACATGGTAGGCTGGTCCAGAAAATTACGTCACATGGTATCAAGTGTGACAATCCGGACAAATATGAGGTGACGCAAGAGGACAGCACACAGTAAATGGCAGGACCATTAGTAACATTGATATTCAGAGGGATCTTAGTGTGCAAGTCCATAGCTCCTAGAAGTGGAAAACAATTGGATAAGATGGCAAAGATGGCATAAGGCATACTTGTCTTCATTAGTTGGGGCATCGAGTATAGAAGTTGGCAAATTACGTTGCAGCTATATAAAACTTTAGTTAGGCCACATTTGGAGTATTGTTTGACGTTCTGGTCACCACACTACAGAAAGGATGTGGAGGCTTTAAAGTGGTTGTAAAAAAGGTTTACTAAGATGCTGCCTTGGTTAGAGTGTATCGGCTATAAGGACAGGTTGTTTTCATAATAGTTTCGGAGACTGATGGCGACCTGATAAAAGTATATAAAATTACGAGAGGCATGGATTTGGTGGATAATCAGATTCTTTTTCCCAGGGTAGAAATGTCAATTATGAGGGGACATAGGTTTACGGTGATAGGGGAAAAGTTTAAAGGAGATGTGCAGGGCAAGTTTTTTACACAGAGGGTGATAGTGCATGGAACATGCTGCTGGAGGAGGTGGTAGAAGCAGATATGATAGCAAAGTTTAAGAAGACTTTAAACAGACACGTGAACAAGCAGGAATAGAAGGATACAAAGCATGTACATACCATTTCTGAAGAAAGGTCTCGACCCGAAACATCAGTTTTCCTGCTCCTCTGATGCTGCTTGGCCTGCTGTGTTCATCCAGCTCTACACCTTGTTATCTCAGATTCTCCAGCATCGGCAGTTCCTACTATCTCTACGTGCAGATGGGATTAGTTTAGAGTGACACTGTGGTCCTCCTGACTCCCCAAAGCCTGCCCACCATCTACAACGAGTGCGAATGGAATACTTTTCACTAGCCGAATGGTTGCAGCTCTAACAAAACTCAAAAAAATTTGAAACAATCCAGGACAAAGCAGTCTGCTTGATTAGAACCACATCATCAAACATCCACTCCCTTCATCACTAATGCTCAGTAGCAGCAGTGTGTACTTTCTACAAGGGATGCACTGCAGAAACTCAGCAAAGATCCTTAGACAACAACTTCAAAACTCACAACCACTTCCAGCTCGAAGGACAAGGGCAGCAGATACATGGGAACACCACCACCTGCAAGTTCCAAGCCACTCATCGTCCTGACTTGGAAATATATTGCCATTCCTGCACTGTCGCTGGGTCAAAATCCTGGAGTTCCTTCCCTAAAGGCATTGTGGGTCAACCTACAGCATGTGGACTGAAGTAGTTCAAGAACCTAGGTCACCACCACCTTCTCAAGGCCAACTAGGGATGGGCAATGAATGCTGGCTAGCCATGTCTATGTCCCGTGAGTGAGTTAAAAAATAAGATGGCGGGCTGAAAGGCCAGTTTCTGTGTTGTATTGTTCTTATGTTCAGTGTTATATGTAGTGGATATACGGACATTGAATACATTTAAAGAGGAGATAGACAGATTTTTAATTAGTAATAGGTTGAAGGGTAATGGAGAGCAGGCAGGGAAAGTGGAGTTGAAGCTGAGATGAGATCAGCCCTGAACATATCGAATGGTGAAGGAGAGGCTGAATTGCCTCTTGCTGTTCCTAGTTTTTAATGTTGGTAAATAATATAATTTTTGTTTTGTTTTCTTTCAGTTGACTCCCTCAGCATTCATGAAGGAAATGTCCCTTGACACAAAACAGAGATTAGCAAATACTCATGAGATGTATCTTCCTTCTGTTATTGAGCTTCTAGACATGACTGAAACCACACTCGAGAAGGTACAGTCCATTATTCCCATCAAATTTTCGGATTGATTGAAAACAAAATTAAATACTTAAATATCCTGTATTCATAATGAAACTAACTTCTTTAACTTTTGTTCTGCTGAATTAAGTGTGCTTTTTATGTAGTTAATTTAGTTACAAAAATTATGTGTTGCATTAAACTAGGATTAACCTGCACTATGTCGGATCTGTTGGTACAATATAACTATGATAGTAGTGCCTAGGATCAGAGGTTAAGTTATTTGGGTTGCTTTTGGGAACAGGGAGAATTATGAAATGATGCACAGTCTGAAACATACATCCACTACATATAACACTGAACATAAGAACAATACAACACAGAAACTGGCCTTTCAGCCCGCCATCTTATTTTTTAACTCACTCATGGGACATAGACATGGCTAGCCAGCATTTATTGCCCATCCCTAGTTGCCCTTGAGAAGTTGGTGGTGACCTAAATCTCTCTTAAAGCTGCAAAATTAATTCCTATTGAAATTAGTGTGGGGAACTAGGAAGTTCATCTCGTGCATGCACTGGAATAAGTGTGGCTTATCACATTTTGGCCCTGTTTAGCTGTTCACATTCAAGGATTGCCTCGCTAGGAATGAGCTGGGAGGAAGGAGGTGGGCTGTTTAGTTGGTGGGAAGGGCCCAGGTTGGAGAGGCAAGGAATGTTGAGGTTGACCGTTAAATGACCAATTAAGTAGTGTTACAAAGACTGAAGTTTGTCTGGCTGTCAGATTACCTGGTGCCTCTTGATGGAGGTGAGTTCTTCACCTCCACGCCTTGGAATTTAATCCCATTAGGGCTCCCAAAAATCACCACACTCAGGTTACTGATGACTTTGTGACTGGTGAATAGGGCCATTCCATGACAGTCTCAGATCTTGTTGTATATTTTGGCTTTATGTTAAAAATTTTGGCATATTATTGGCACATTTTGACATTGGATGTTAATGAATTGGCAGCACACTTTAAAACCCACGCAATTCTCTTTTCAATGACATCAATGGGAAAGAAAAGCAGGGAATAAAAAAAAGCACGCAGCTATCTGTGAGCATCAGAGGTATCCTCTGACGGACTGCTCCAGTTGATAGGCATTGGCTAAAAAATATAGCAGCAACAGATCATGTAGCTTCATTAGAGCTCTTTCTTGACATTTTCCTAGGTGCTGTTATTATGCCATTATGAATGTTTAGCTTAGTTTAAAAAGCTACCATGATCTAAGTAGGGAGTTCTAATTCACAATAAAAACAGAAAAAACTGTGGATGCTGGATATCAGAACCAAAAATAGTTTTAATTCTAATTCGCAGTTTGATTGGAAGTTTAAAGATGTTACTTAAGAATTAGCTGTCTTAGATATAGGATCTGATTAGAAGGCCTTATAAGAGAGAATTTAAACATTTTGGGTGAATTTTATGAGTGGACGTTTTCACTATCAAATCCACAGGAGTAAGAGTTGTATTAAATTTTTGTTTGTAGTTTTATTGTATTTCCATCTGGCCCCTGAGGTTTTCCCATTGTGGGTGTTGAATGAGTTGCTATGGAGGGTGTGAGGAGCCAAGGATATGGGTGGGGTTCATGAGATGGCACTGAATTGGCATGGAAGTTATGAGGAGCTGTGTAGGCAGATTGGTGAGGAAGTCTGTGGATCAAGGGCTGGAATCCCTAACAATTTTTAAACCAACTAAATTAAGCCATGATTTGGAGGTGCTGGTGTTGGACTGGGGTACACAAGGTCAGAAATCACACGACACCAGGTAACAGTTCAACAGGTTTATTTGAAATCACAAACTTTCAGAATGCTGCTCCCTTGCCAGGTGAAGTGAAGAAAAGCATACAGGCACAGAATTTATAGACAGAAAGGTCAGTGGGCAGAAAGATCAAAATATCATACAAATAGTGTGAGTGGAGTGTCGATAGGCTGAATACTAAGTCTCTGCAGGTGATCAAAAATGTCATACCGTATCAGTAAAGTGTCAACAGCTGAATAGTAAGTGAAGGAGATGATCTATAATCCAGTTAATTGAGGCAGAGACGTAATTATGAAAAAACAGTTAGGTGGTGCTGGATACAAACCAAACAGCCAGAATAATATGATACGTATAAAAGAGTCGCATGCCAAACGTCTAAACAAAGTAACAAGTAATCCAAAACTGTACAAACTAATTAAGATGGAGTGATCATAACAAGTTATCAAGGTGATGGTGTTAAAACAGGACAGTA